TTAAATGAAAAACAAGACAAATGCAACTTGCAACTAAGGTGTGAAGTATAGTTAGGTCGAAATCTCATACTAATGAAAGTTTGACTTCGTTTTGTGTAGCAGATAGTACAACATTATGTGATTTACCATCTGTGATGTGGTTGTGTTATGGTTTTCAGGTGTTAAACAGGGAACTAGAAGAGGATGCACAGTTCCAGGGACTCAATGATTTCTGCAGCACTTTCAAACTTCAGCGAGGAAAGACTGACAATGAGGAAGAAGATCCCTCTGTGGTGGGAGAGTTCAAGGTAAAGAAGCTATATTTTGAGGAGATATTCCTGTCATGAAGCATCCCATTATACCTGAACTTTTGTAACATGAGAAATCTCTGCTTTTGCTGTTGAACAGCCACGTCTGCCCTCTGGTGGAGGGATTTATGAATTTCATAGACATAGTATGGACAGCATTATTTATTGAGCCTGCAGATTGGTATGTCTGTAAGGGGATAGTTTGTTGCATGGTATTTCTTCGTGCCCTGAATGTTTAATTTAGTTATGCTATATCTTGAACTGGAATTCACTTTGGATTATATGGATCATTCTTTTTATATTGTTGCAAGCATATTTAATAATTAAGAGCAGTCACAATGTTTAAAAAGATTGACCAAGCTGAGTGGCAACGTCAGTAACTTGATATTTTGTTGCTTGTCGATAAGATGTTGTATGACTAATGGTGCTGTCCTCTTTGGTGATATTCAGGGCTCGTTCAAGATTTACCCACTGCCCGATGACCCAGGGGTGCCAGCTCCACCCCGCCAGTTCAGAGAGCTTCCTGTGAGCGAACCTCAGGAGTGCCTGGTCAGACTTTATGTGGTGCGCTGTCTTGACCTGCAGCCGAAGGATACGAATGGCATGGTGAGTATTATATGATGCTACAACTGATCAACCAACCTGATTTTGTGATAAAGAATTGAATCACAACCACAACCATGCTCTAGATTTAATTAAGTGAAAAAGATGATTGAAGCTAATGAAGCTAAGATTTTTTTTTTTTCGTTCTCATTTCAGTGTGACCCATATGTGAAGATTGCACTGGGAAGGAAAACACTGGATGACAGAGATAACTACAAACCAAACACCCTTAACCCAGAGTTTGGGAGGTGAGACTGAACCTTTTGAAAAAAAAATTGAGAAAAGTCTTGATGAATTGAGCTAAATGGGGCCACATCACATCAAGACTTTTCTCAGTTTTTTGATTCTCCGTACACCATGGGAGCATAGGAAGACATTTTTCTTTACGAATTCAAGATTCCCATTTGAATTATTGATGTAAAAATGGTAATTTGAATGTTAATGTATACTTTTAAGTTTGTGTAGGACATAAAGGAGCAACAAACACATTATATGTCCATTTATGTCCAGGATGTTTGAGATGTCCTGCTTCCTGCCTCAAGACAAGGACCTGAAGATTTCTGTGTATGACTATGACTTACTGAGCAGAGATGAAAAAGTCGGTGAGACAATCATCGATTTGGAGAACAGAGTCCTGTCTCGTTTCAGGCCCTGCTGTGGCCTGCCACAGACTTACTGTGTGTAAGTATGTACTCTCACAGTACAATAGCTACAGTACAGTACAGTTGATACATCCTACAACGTAAGCCTCAAAGCCAAACCAACAAAGCTACAATTTTCCTGCAGCTCAGGGATCAATCAGTGGAGAGACCAGCTGAAGCCTTCTCAGATCCTCCAGAACGTGGCCAGAGTGAGAGGCCTTCCTCCTCCACGCATAGAGGGAGATGGCAGCTCCCTGTCTTTTTCAGGAATACAATACAACCTGCAAGATTTTGGTAATGCCAGTCTTGAATGCCCTATCATCACATTTTTAGTAGAATTATTACTTACTGTATATCTACTATCTGTATGACCATGTCTCGTTTTTATATATTTGCCTTGTAAAATATTTAACAATTATTAATTAGTGTGCTGCAGTTGCATTTTGTTCTCATTCTGGCTTATCTGTGATATTAACATCTTCTACAGTATACTATTCTTTCATCCTTGACTATTATGGTTTGTCATGCGTTTTGCAGAGGCAAACACTGTGATCCACCCGCACTTAGGCCCAGCCAGAGAGAGGCTGGCTCTGCATGTCCTCAGAAACCAGGGCTTGGTACCAGAGCATGTGGAGACCAGAACCCTGTGCAGCTCCCACCAACCGAACTTGTCTCAGGTTAAAACAACAGCAGTAACCCTTTTTTAGTAGAGCTACAAGAAGTAGAGATAACGTATGAAGCTGATGCTCTGTGAAATATATATTTTAAAATTGTTGTGTGATAGCTTTGTTTAAAAGTCTCATAATTTCCCACAAATACAGGGACAAATTCAAATGTGGGTGGACATCTTTCCCAAGAGCCTTGGTTTGCCAGGGCCCCCATGTGATATCGCTCCACGCAAAGCCAAGAAGTAAGAGACACTTGTCTAAATAATGTTTTATCATCGTTTATTCAAGGATCAAATATAACAGTGTATTTAAAATAGGTACGTTTTGCGAGCCATCATTTGGAACACAACTGATGTTACTCTGGACGAAACAAGCATCACTGGAGAAAACATGAGTGACATCTACGTCAAAGGGTACATTACTTGTCCTTTTCTCTTACCTCCACCCTTCTTTTGTGTTTACATATGTTTTACTTTTATATGCATTTTTCCACCCACTGGACTCATTCACAAATAGTCAATCTGAAGTCAACATTATCGTGTTTCCTAGATGGATGCCAGGTATGGAGGACAACAAGCAGAAGACTGATGTCCACTACAGATCCCTGGATGGTGATGGAAATTTCAACTGGAGGTTCATCTTTGGGTTTGACTACCTGCCTGCAGAGCAGCTGTGTCTTGTCTCGAAGAAAGTGAGTGAGATTGTGGAGCAGGAACGAAGCATCAAGTGACTGTTGCTATAACCATATCATTTTTTTGTCGTGCTGGTATGATGGCAGGTAATGATCTGAATAAAGTGTCTGTCTTTTACAGGAACACTTTTGGAATCTGGACAACACTGAATTTAGGATTCCTCCTAAATTGATGATCCAGATTTGGGACAATGACAAATTCTCCTTGGATGACTACTTAGGTGAAACAGCATTGTGCCATGACAACACAAGTCCTTTAGAAATAGAGATCTGCCAGAGAGAACTACTGCATAGGAGACAAATTATTATTTTCTATCTATATCTCTGTTACAGGTACAGTTGAACTGGACCTTCTCAATCTGATCTCTCCTGCTAAGAGCCCAGAAAAGTGCAGTCTGAAGATGGTGCCAGGGAGAGCGGGCTCAGTCGCCTCCAAGAAACCTCTGCCAAACTCACTTTTCTCCCAAAAGTCTGTAAGAGGCTGGTGGCCATGCACGATCGAGCAGGATGGGAAACATGTGCTTGGTGTATGTTTATATCAGCAGCACAGTCCCTAGTTAATTTTTTTTTTTTCCTGGTTACTGTTTAAGACTGTGTTTTAAAACTCTGCAGGGTAAAGTAGAGATGACACTGGAAATAGTGGAGGAGAAGGAGATGGAAGAGAGACCTTCTGGGAAAGGCAGAGATGAGCCAAACATGAATCCCAAACTAGACCCACCCAAGTAATAAATCCTTAATAAAAATGCATGGAACATATGATTTTCTTGTTCTATGAATTGCTTGACATGAACAATGTGAATGTTGCTGTCTTTCTCCATTCAACAGCCGCCCTGACACGTCGTTCTTCTGGTTTATAAACCCTTGCAAGACCATGAAGTTCATTGTTTGGCGCAGATTCAAATGGATTTTCATGGCAGCGATTCTTCTTCTGCTGGTCATCTTGTTCCTTGGGATCCTGTTCTACTCCCTACCCGTACGATTACTTAGTTTCCTGATAATTTCTATATTTCTGAAATAATTTGTATCCCTCGCACATTGTTTTTCCACAGTGTTTTGTAATCCGAGTGAATATTAATGTCTATTCTATATCCACAGAACTACATCTCAATGAAGATTGTGAAGCCTTTCTCTTAAGGAGCATTGCAGAGAAGTTGCCTGCCTTCCTGCTGCAGAATTTACAGTCCTCTTCACGGCTTCCATCCCTCAGAAATATGCAATAATTTCCACTGTTGATGCCATAACGTACTGATCTTCAGCATTCTAACCTCACATAATCACACCTGACTGCTATTATTTTTTGCACTCTCAGCTTTACAGTATATTTCTTGTGATGCAAATATATCTAATGTTAAAATGAAGACAAAAATAATCAAGAATGTCAAGAATGATATATTTTAATAAAATTTGTTATAAAGAAGTTGTTCATATTTTTTGCACACATTTGAAATCAGTGCAAATGTTGGAAAACTATCTACCGGTATAGGAGTGTTACCGGTTATTCCCAATATTAAGTTATATTATTATTATATAATATCAAAACCAGGTCCACCTTTGGTCAATTATAGGTTGTTAAGATATTATAAAGTCCATTCACATGGTGGTTAACTCACTTGCGTGGAGAACCGAATAATTTAAGCAATGAAAAAGAGAAATACAATAAGGCTAAAATTAAGTACAACATGAAAATATAGTGTCTACTAAGGTGTTTTACTACTGATGTATGAAATACATTTCTTTACTTGACATACTTTGCTACTTTGTTACTTTTCTTCTATATTTTCTCCAGAAGGACTGCAGTGAGTCACTGGGAAAAACAAATGCTCCAAACAAAATACACAGTTAATCACGTCACAATTAAACCTCAGTCTTAAGTATGTGTTTGTTGGGTAGCTCTCATTTAGAATCTCGAAGTTCACCTATTTTATCTTTGGAAGAAGTAGAAATGTAATGTATCTTTACTTTACTCTTCTATCTAGTATATCAACGCTTCCTTGACGGTTGCACGACAGTAAACTCCTTTTTGGCCAAGTTGCTAGGATACCAACTCATCGTCCCGCCTCTTTTTCTGGTGAACGTGTCTGATTGGTTGACTGAGTGTTTCGACCATTAACATACAGGAGCTGCCTGCAACAACTAAGAAAACGTAAACCTATAACGGCACGATAACATTTGGAGTGATATGTGGTTAGAGAAGTAGTTGTATATGAAAATAATAATGTAATGCAGCTAACTCACAAGTCTTACACCAAGAGGGACATGCTTGTAAGTTGTATCTTTTCGTTTTATTGGACACAGCACTGCTAGCTCAATGAGGTTGAATTACGTCAGCGCTATCGACAAGAATTGGGGCTAGCGAATAATAGCTAACGTTTAGATTTTTAGCCAATCAAAGCTACGTTAGCTCAAAATTACTTGATTTGTTTTGTCCTGCAAGATGTGTTCGCATCAAGGTAGCAAGCTACTAACCAAATCCCTCGGAAAGAAACATCGTACAACTATGGTGAATACCCCAAAACAAGTTTTACAGTGAAGATAACTCGTGTCAAAACGATAAGGTTGGTTGGGGTTAGTTAGCTAGCTAATTGTAGCTTTGTTGAACCTGCTAGAAGGAGCTTTTCCTCGTGATATGCTGGCCACCAGTGACTGGTAGAAACTGTCACTTATGCTGACTCGAAAGCTAAGACCACAGCTCGCCCCGCAGTCTCGTGACCTGAGAAAGTGGCCGAAACAAAGTCCTAAAAACACCTCTGTGACGTTACTGTCTGTCCTAAGGTCTGAGTGTCTCTTCCGTCCAAGACCAGACAAAACAAAGCTTTGTATTTGTCGCTATGTAAAGTCCAGTGTTACATGAAAGCGGGCAGTATATAGCTGTATTACAACTTCATGTTTGAATACAATTATAAACATTGTCGCAGCTTCTTACTACGTTAATCTTTTGTCTTTCTTCAGCAGCTATTGTTGATTCATCTTGTCTGACCTGTTGAAGATGGATGAAGGGATGGATTCTCAAGAAATCAATCCTGCCACAATTAGTTCTAAGTAAGTTTATAATGAAGCAATCTGCACTTATAAGATACTTGTTAACAAAGTGCATGCTGGGAAAGGGGATGCTGCATCACTATGATCATAAGTGGACACACTGTAGATTCAGCCTGCTAACAAGTTCTTCTCTCACTTTGTTCTCTTCCTGTCCTGTTACAGTGTGACTGCTGAAGTCAAGCCAGAGGGCGCAGGGAATGATGATCCAAAAACAAACTTCACGGATGAAAAAGATGAACTCTTTTGTGGACCACAAAGGAAGGACACAACAAAAGACTGTGCACTACTGGAGAACATGCAAGATGATGCAGCATCTCTGACTTCAGTGGACTGTGGCTCTGCAAGTGGGCTGGATGAACCTGTTCTTGCAGGCAGCAAAAGTGACACAGCTGAAACACACTGTTCTAATGGGCAGAAATCTAAAAGGTCATCTTCTCCTGGTTATAACCCTGTTAAAACAACCTGTGCTGCTGCACCCTCTTCAAATCCCAAACTCACACTCTGTCTCAGTGATAGTCCCAGGAAGGGTGTCAGTACACCCTCCAGTGATGTGGAGATGCTGAGTCCGGACAGCCCCGTTAGTAAAACCATGTTCGTCAACAGCTCTGCAGGCAAGGATCACGATGGCGGCGCTTGTGCAGAGGACTCTGAGCTGTTTGACAAATACTCTGATTCTGGATGTTCTGCCAAAGAAGAAGTCCCTCTGTTTGCCATTAGAAGTGAAGATGCTGAGAAAGCTGAGTGCAGTGGCTCATCTGATATGAGCCAGGAAGCAATTGGAAGCCAGTCAGTTGCATTTTCCGAAAGGTACTTGTGAACAATTTTCTGTGTCACACCTTTTTGTCCTAGCTCCACTATGCTCACAATGTCCTCATCACGTGGTATACTGTCCTGTTCTGTCTTTGTTCTTTACAGCGTTTCACTCGCATCACATAACATGGACAGAAGATGGCTGGGGACACCCATAGATGAGCTGAACAGAATGCCTCAGTGTGCCCCCCCTCTGTCTCACCTGAAAGCAATGCATAACCACACTGTCACAGTCAGGGTGAGTGTTCTTTGTGTGTGGTATGTTATGAAGAGTAAGGGCACTAATGTAACTGGGCATTTTGTGGTGGGTCAGCACTTGGTGTTTTAACAAGAGAGAACAAGATAAGGAAACGTGGTAGGGAGAGTGAAACCATCCTCCATGATCCCCTCAGGGCCTCTTGTCAGTAAAGCTCCTATCAGCCTGTGTCCTCCACTAGTCCCACAGGAACACTGTCAGTGCTGCTGTGTACACTTGCTCTCGCCATCAACTAACCACTGCCACCCATGTGAGATTCTCTCCATCACCCCCTAAAATCACACAAATACTTTAAGTCAGTCCGCAAAGGAACATATGACTTTTGGTAAAACAAGTATCAGGCTTGTATTCCCATTATCTATGTATTCAGTTATAAGATCTATAGTATATCTCTTAATTCATTTACTTTAGAAGTAATAAACTGAGCTAAAGTGACTGACTTCTTAATTTCACAACATCTACCATACCTTGTAATACGTTTTCAAAGTTTCTAAAAGCCAACTTTTTGATGAGCAAAGAGAAAGCAGTTATCTCAATTGTCACTTCTCTCCGCACAGCAGTAACCTTTAAAGACATTTTGTTTTTTCTCTGTTACAGACAGATCTCCTCAGAGAGGGCGAGGTCCCTGTTTCATATCCCAGCAAGTTTAAAGATGTGTGGGAGGACGTGTCCGTGAAGATGCCTTGCTCTGACAAGAATCTTTTTCCTATGGAGGTATACTATACTATGGTGTACTAGTGCATCACAGCTTTGCATACTTTTTTACCACAACATTGTTAGTTACTTCAGGAATATTGTGGTAAAGGCAATTTGTCATCAGGATGGAGGTGGTTTCCAAAGTCGGTGGGAGCTGATCCACACTTCCTTGCAGGGAGGGTTCAAAAGTTCTCTGGATGTGAGGGTAAGACAACTGTGCTGGACCAGACTCTGAATTAGGCTGAACATACTCTTTGTTCTCATTAAGACAGGTTAAACAGCCTTTAAATGTCCCCACTGAAAAATCTAAAGTTAGGGAAACAGACTGTCTGTGCAGTCATAGTTTTGACAAAAAACATCGTTTTTTCCTATCCACAGCGAAATGTAAGACTCTAGTTTAAAAGTTATCCACCTTTCAATCATTTTTGAAAACATTGTTTTGGGTGGCAGCTTAGTGTGGATGCAAGTATCTTGTCCACAGTGTGGACAAGATGTCTATTCAAATTTAGCATTTCAATTTGGGAAATGTAATAGAATTGGTAGGTTGGCTTATTTGGAGGCATGCTGGAGCCTTTCTACAGTATTATTCCAATTGAACTGTCACAGGAGTTTAAAATGTACAAAACATGTTCCATAAACAACCACATGGTGGCAGAGTTTGTCTTGTATTAAAAGAAGCCTTGTAATCTGAGATCCTAAATATTGTTGTGCTTTAAACTTGCTGTTAATCTGCTGCCGTACAGTTTCATATATTTAAGAATTGTCTTCTATGTATAAATAACGTCATGTTCTTCTACACAGGATGCTATATTGAGATACAACATAACCCATGCAAAGAAATGGGACTTCACTGCCCTGAACCTTCTTTGCACAGAGGTAAGCTGTCCAAAACATGACTGCTAACTGTTTGTAATCGGCTGCTCTTGTACAAAAGATAAAGCAGGAAGAATGCAGCTTCCCTGAAGCCCGCTGATCACACTGTATTGTCAAAGCGTGTCATGAATCTTTGCTGAACATGAAGCATTATGAATTTTAAATCCAATTATTTCGGAGTAAAACATTATTTAAAAAAACGATACATACATTCTTACCCTAATTTCTTAATTTTCTATAAAACAGGCTTTTCTTTTTGTAATTTTAATTGACTTATAAATAAACACCTCATCAGTGAAATGCAGCCATTTGTGTGTTTAACAGCTCTGATAGTCCCTGTGAACTCTTCTGGCAGTGTTTGTCTAACTCACCGTGATTAATTATGTCTTTTAAAATGAACCTTAATGAAGAATGACGCTAAAGCTCGTACTAAACTAGAGTTGTTGTCGCAAAGGGAGCCTGCTCTCCTCTGTTTGGCTGCGAGCCCATCAGTGTGCTCCGTCCGGAGTCTCACGGGAGCAAATATTCTTCAGTTAGGACAGATGAGCACGGAGCATAGCGGCGGCAGCTGCTGCTGGTGAACCAGGGGAATGTCTTTCTTTTTTTCTGTCTACTTCCTATTTTTTTTAACACTTATTTTCCTCTTCATGGACTATAATCACATACCTGTTGTTAGAGAAACTTTCTCCCATGTGGGATTCTTATGACATTACTTATTAAAACTGTAATGACATTTAGTATATCCAAATAAAGCCTCAGTCCTTCTGCAGGAATTCCTTCACATCTTGTAGATACAATGTTTGTCGTACTGTTTGCCTGCTGGACTCAAATAGAATCTATACGCACGACATATTACCACCCAAATTGCTCAAAAAGAAGAAGACGGGGTCTTTGAATAGACAGTAAACAAATTTCAGCTCCAAGCCTAGTTTGGTTACCTACATGTATTAAAGCATGTCGTTTATTATCAAACTCTTTCAGGGTGGGCTCATTTCTTGGTTGGAGCCATTAGGAACAAGGCCATTATTCTAATGAAGCTCTTACAACATTTCATCCTGGTTACAGTCCAGTCAGACTGTTATCTGAACGTTGATTACTCAGCTAAATTCAGACCGTTCCAAAACTATGTTTTTCTTCTCCTCTCTAAAATCATTTCTCAGAGTAGAAGCTGAGAGCTCCGTAGATCAATAGCCAACTGAGCATTTTCTTTATAGCTTAATCAAATTTAATTAAAAGGTCCCATAAACTCCAGCAACAAACTCGCCCTTCATGGAGTCTTATGTGTCAGCGTCTCCGCTCTCTACCCTGAGCACATTATTTCCCCGCATGTATTACTTGCAGAGGAATTTAGCAAGGAGGGATGGTATTGGCAGGAGAACGACAAGTCAATTGACAAAAGTTATAGAGGAATATCAATGTACAGATACAAAATACCTACTGGTTGTGTCTGCTTCCTGTCAGTAACATTTCTATTAGTTAATGGATGCGGAATGAGGGAGCATTTAGATCGTCCTGCCAACACGTGGAGCAGGAATGATTAACAGCTGCCATTCTACAGCAGACATACCATCTTTCTCACAGAGACTAATGTAGTGAAGAATCACATAGACTGAATTGGTTAGCCATTCTTTGGACAACCCAATTGAATAGTAATTGACAGAATACCTTTTACTGCTCCTCCGCTCACACCTTTTTAATAAAATGTTACTCCTTTCCCCCGTAGTTTGTGGTGAATTTGAATCTGAACTGTTTTACTCCTCGGCCAAGCTCACCTAATTAAATCTGGAGCAACATTTGTGCAGCACTGGGGTGATTGTCACGAGGTGCATTGCCCCTGGGCCAATGATTGACACGCCGCTCAACGTGTAATAGCCATAGGGGAGAGAGAAAAAAGAGTTGTCCAAATTGGGGCTCGTCTGTAAATTGTCTTAGTGTTTCCCCCCCCTGCCAATTGAAACTGTCACTGTGTCACTTTCTGATGAGTGTCTTCAGGCTGAGCAGGAAAACAGTCCAGAAGTACGTACAGCTGATGTTACAACAGTACCTGAACATTCAGCCGCAAGACAACAACACGCTCTACCCCTCTCACTTTTGTGCTTCGTCACTTGTTTTGTTTTCTATAACACATTCTTAGACCTCTAAATACAAATGTGAGATTGAGACTTGCGTAGGTTGAGCTGCCAGGAAATGAAAATAACTTGTATGAAGACCAGAACGGATGAAAGATCAGAGTGTAATCGATGATTAGCCCATGCAGCAGTAAATCTGGACCGTCATATGTATTGACGTGAAGATATAGTGTGTGTGCTGCCTAACCTGTGTGTTAGCGTGGTGGCCGGCAGCTGTAGCCGTGGAAAGGCTGGGGGATCATCTTTCTACCCTCATCCTGTCACATCACCAGCTACCATCTATTAGTCCCACACGAGCACTTTATGATGTCTGCCCCCTCATTACTTCTGACAGCATTTAGTCAGACCCGCTCTGCAGCCATATAAATGCCCCCCCCCCGGCCAAATCACGCTCTGAAGACTTCCTGCTGAAATTGAAGCCACCCTGCCACTCTCTCCACAACTGGTCATTTACATTTGCTCCAGAAGTCCATTTAATCAGCGCAAGCCTCCTTGCTTACCTTGATAGAATAAGGCAAGTGATTGATGAGCAAGCCAATACTCTCATAAGTGATTGCGTTGTAAATCTGGGTCTATGATGGAATAACTGGGTGTTTATTTTAGAGGGAATTGCAGATGGATGCTGAGGTAAGCTAGATGCTGAAGTATGCCTCGGCCGTGGCAGGCTCGCTCCCAGATTGATGGTAGTTTCTTCTGAAACTGGTTTCTGTGTAGCGAGCAGCTCTGCAGCATTTCTTTTTCCTCATTCGCCGCTGAAGTGTTGGGATTATTTATATCTGAGGAGTGGAAGTTCACCCTAAAACAATAATAAACCTCCATTACCTCCACTGACACTGAGTTTTCTTGTTGGATGTGAGAGAATTGAGCATCTTTCCTTAGATATTGGTCACTGGTATTGGGTTATGACCTCAGACTCACTGTCAAACAGTTATTACACCTCTTAAACCTTCCTCATATTCTTCAGGGCCAGGTTGTCTCAAGACAATACTAAACCCTAAACAAATCATTGCAACTATTGAAAAAGAAATTGCATGTGGAGCTTTCACGTGTCATTGTATTTTCAGTTGTAACAGGTTATGTGGGTGTGAACTGTTCAAAGCTGTGATAGTATTATTTGTAGAAATCTATCCATACAAAATAAAGTATTACTGGAATGTTAATGTAGAAAAGTGAGAAACACAAAAAAAGTATTATTTGAATCAATTGATATAAATTAGAAATTGATTCTGTAACTAACCAGGTAAAATCAATACATGTTTTCTCTCACTTTTGTGTCTTGTTGAAGTTTGCATTATTATTATTATTATTATTATTATTATTATTATTATTATTATTATATTACTATTATTATCATTTGATGATGCATTCAAGCAAGTCCATTTGCAACATAATTGATGGCAACAATTTGTACTCACTGTTCAGGACGTGGTTTGTGTCAGAGACGATATTGTTGGCCGGCCGTATTGTGTTATTTTGTTAGGCTGGTTCATAGACTTTCTCAGGGGGATTGACCAATAGTCTAGCAGACTTTCATTTGGTCGAGCAGTTTTGACTTTAAGGTGGTGGATAGACATTTGCACTGTGTATTTCAGGGTTTGTAAGATCATGTAAAACCCGGAACAAATGAATAAACCCAGAACAATTTTGGAAAATCATGTAAATTTGCTTCACAAATGCCTGTATAATAAAGTATGCGTGGCTCAGTTATGATCGACAGACAATAATCTATATTGGTTAAACAATACTTAAATGTTCGGGCAGATCAGTTCTACCTCTCTGTGTGGCGTGACTGCAGACTGCGGCCTTTTTATTCTTATTTTTTCACGTATACGTTGACGTTTCAGAGAATGTATGGTCGTGACAATTTGCCCCGGCAGCATGGAAAAGTCCTGGAAATGTTTTGGTAAAAATATGTTTGAACCCTGTGTTTGTCTCACTATGGTTATCTGTATGTTTACTTTAAAATAAAAGGATATAGTTGCCAATATAAGAGATACAAACTGTTTACATTTTAATAAAGAAAGTAACAAAACAAAACAAACAAGACATTAACATTTTGGTTGGAAAAAAATCAGTGGTGTTACAAACCAGTATGTCACTTCAGATCTAATCAGTCACTCTGACTGTAGGCAGATAAATCCCATCTAACAGAACTTCTGCTGTGTGTTTGTTTTTCTCTCCTCTCTCCAGTATCTTGTTAATCCAGAGTTACAACTCCTGTTTGATGATATACTACCAGCTATGGTTGACCTAGCACTCAATGCTCCTGTCCTCTGCACAATGGTAAGTGCAGTGTACTATTTTTGAATATGTACATACTTTATGTTTGGTGGGGGGGGGTGAGGTAATTGAATGGTGAGCTATTGCACTACAGTTAAACAGAGGTCAGCCGCGTAGAGGGATATAGGAGGAAGGATGTAAGTGCGTGCAGTCAGTGAAAGGGAAGAGGCTAATGGTTCGATGGTGGATGTTATACAAGATCAGCTCATGAGTTACAACCGGCAGATAATGAATGCCCCCGTTTTGGTCCATATCGAGAACTGCTTCATTAGAAAAGAGGGCTGCGAGAGGAGAGGTCCGTCTCATTTCCACTCATCCATCTGATGTGTCATGCTTGTGCACTTGAGGAAATTCCTCTTATGAAATTAAAAATATCAGTCCATTCCTTTGGACACGTTAGTTGTTCCTCCTCCAAGCGATATATGTTGAGAAACAGGGCCCTCTCTTTAACTCACAGCAAATTCAGCTGATCCATGTCACAGATCTTTTAAATGTCATCCCCATTTGTCTTCATTTTCGTTCTCCGTCATCAATTATAGCGATTGAAAAAATTCCAAGATTGGTATATCTGTAATTCAGTTATCTATTTCTGAGTCCTCAGTTTAATCAAATCATCTTAAATCAGCTCCCACTCTGGGCAGGACTGGAAAATCCCTCTGATTGCTACTGGAGACAGAAACAAGGGGCAGAACGTTGAAGATGCTCAGCGGTTGGCCGATGAAGCTTTCTGACTCTCCGCTTTAGTTTGCAGTATTAAGCGTCAAGGCTAACGTGTGTGTGTGTGTGTGTGTGTGTGTGTGTGTGTGTGTGTGTG